AAACATGGGGAGTTTGATGTAGGATTTGAGGGAGAGTTTTCCTGATTTTTTAAAAAACATTTATTTGTTTTTGTTTATTTATTTATTTGGGTGCACTGGGTCTTGGTCGCAACATGTGGGATCTAGTTCCCTGACCAGGAATTGAACCTCTGGCCCCTTGCATTCAGAGCTTAGAATCTTAGCCACTGTTCCACCAGGGAAGTCTAGAGAGTTTTCCTAATTTTTAAAGAGAGATCCCTAGGAAGAGAGTCATTATTTTCTTCCATGCAGTGTTCCATCTGAATATGATGACTGGGATTGCTTCAGCCATCTAGCCCCAAACCTGAAGATGAAGCCACAATTTAGGTAAATGCAGAGCCAAAAGAATTCCATTGGAAAAGGGCTGCAGCACTATCTTATCTTTTTATAGTAAGAAAAAATAAATCTTGTTATTAAAAAAAAAGTCATTCCAGGGTGGATTTTTTGTTACTTGCAGCTAAACGTCTTTGAATTTTGTCAAACTCTCCCTCCATGTCATAAGAAATAGACCATATATATGTTTGATCCTCTGTTTCAGCATGGTAAAGGGCCTATTAATAGGAGAGTATTCCATAATTATTTCCATGTAAATCTTAAAAGATAATAATACTTTACTTTTCAGCACACTTTTTACTTTTCCCCCTGTCTTTATTAGTCCCACTGGCTTTTATACATAACATGTTATGAACTGTGTTACTTGTTAGCAAAGAAAGTAAAACAAAAAATGGTCTCATACCCAATATAGTGTACACTCTTAATGACATCATAGCCAACTGTATATATCAATGCAAGCTATATATCTGACATATAAGCACTGAAATAATAAAATCCTCTATAAGTGTTTAAAAATGGTATTTGGGGGGAATGTTTTAGGTATAAGAAATCTCTCTCTCTGCATTGTCGGCTGTCAGCAGAAAGGTGTACTGCATAAGGAAAGTCAGAAATCTCGCAAATATATTGAGCATCTGCTGATACCAGGCTGGACACATAGGTGCTGGCTGAATAGTGGTAAACGGTAATCATGGGATCCTCACTGTCATGGAGTTAACAGACTAAGTGGGCAGCCAGACTAACTAACAAGCAGTTATGATGCAGTGTGATCATTGCTCCTATATGTTGAAACGTGAGAATATAATGGGTACTTAACTCAGAATTAGAAAGAGAGTGGGAATGCACAGGAAAGGATTCCGGAGGAAACAAAAGTGAGTTTGAGTCCTGGAGATTGAATTGAATTCGAATGGGCCAAGGGGAAAAGAGTATGTAGAGAACCGCATGTGTAGGGAACTAGACAAGGGAGAAAGTTGTCAGTAGGCACCTGCTTCAAGAAAGCTGAAAATGGCCAAGTTGAGGCAGGGAGGCCACAAAGTAATGGGTGGGATTGGAGTGGTACAGAGAGACCAGACCATGAGAGACACCTTTAAGTTACACTGAAGTGTGTTTGAGTGATATTCTGAATACAGCAGGGATTCATGTATATATTTGATGAGAAGTATTTATGCATGGCTGAGTGATACTGATTAGTTTAGAAGGACAAAGCAGAAATACTAGCAGTAGTCGGCATATTTGGACAAAATACTGGAGAGTGGTTGTCAAACAGGCGAAGGGAAGGGGGAGTATTGGGAGAATGTTTTATCATTACCTGAATGTGGTGGAAAGGGGAAGAAGGCATCTTCTCTGACTTCTGGTTGCAGTGGATAGAAGGGTTATTCCTGGGGAGGTGCTTCCCAAAGGGGCTGATACAGGGGAGGATGATGAGTTCAGCTTTGAACATAACTGTTAGTCACCTGTGTGTCATCCCATAGATCTTGGATTTGGGTCAGCAGTTGTGTGGACAGGTATAGGACTTGGACATGGGCTGGAGTCTCTGAGTTCTAGCGTTTTGATTTATTGAGTGATGATACTAACACCCAGCTCATAAATGTTGTCATGGGGTTTAATGAGAAAATATAAAGCAACTTATACAGCTAAAAGGGAAACAAATATTATTGTTCTCATGTACTATGTTCTTTATTACTGTTAATGATGCTCTTGTTTTTGTAACTCTGTTTTCACACCTGTAGCCAGAAATGATTAAAATGATTATAGCAGCTACTGTCTATTGAATAGACATTACTGTATTAGGCATTCTTCACTTTTAAAGATTGTATCGGTATTAAATCATTTAATCCTCAGAAAACTTCTATGTAGCAGTTACTTTTATTATCCTTATTTTTATGGGTATGAAGATAGTCACAAAGTACTTAAGTGACTTGCCAAAGATCATTTAACTAGGGAACGTTGGAGGATGGATTTGAACAAAGTCAGTCAGGCTTCCATCCCTGCACTTTATGTATCAGACTGTACTTGTGCTTAACATGCTTTTAACTTTTAATCAGTTTATATTGTTAGTTACATTCCTTTAGAATATGGTGGTCATCTTTTTTTTTTTTTGATGGTCATCTTTGTTTTATTCTTTTCAACAGCTCTACTGTTCCTGAAATACTTTGTATTGAGAACACACAATTCTCTTTATAGAGCTAATATTAAATCATTTTTCTGCTTTGTATTATAATGTCAAATTGATTGGCTTTCATACACATAAATATAAATAAAAGTTTTCATTTCTGGTTCATAACTCTAGCCATCTCCATATTCATTGACTTGTAGTTTTGAAAAGAGCTTAAAGTCTTCTTGTTCAAGCTCATATCAAATGTTTCATTCATCTTGTCAAGTGGCTATTGTACCAAGACTTGTCCACTTTCAGGCACAGAAAGCTTCCTCCACAAATTATCTCAGTATTTGCAGTTGTTCTCAGTAAACCTTTTCCACCACTGTTGCCCCAGCGCCTGGTACACCGCCTGACACATGCAGAGTGCGCCATACATTTTGTGGAATGAACAAAGAAATAAATGATTTACCATCAAAAAAGACACACTGTTCTTTAAGTTTTTCTGTAATTCTACAAAGACAAAGCAAAATTTCAATTCAAAATATGACTATATTTGTGCAAGAGGAAGGCTAAAATAACTGAGGAAAACATTTGGATTTTATTGTAGAGAAAAGAGATGACATACATAGGATTCTAGAAACACCCCAAAACTGAATGGGTCTGCTGGCAGTCCAAGTAGGCATGAGATCGGCCCTGAATATTGAGGCAGGCAAGTTGGAACGCCTTCCTAAACTTGGATAATTGCCATTTTGGCTTGCTTGAAATGTAAATTTGAACTTTATTCTAAACTGACGAGTGAACCAAGAGCTCCAGTTGATGATCAGCATTGGGTCTGGGACAAGTCCTCTCATGAACCATTGGATTGTTACAGTCTGCCCGTGAAGAGAAGCCTGTAGTTATCTATTGGACCTTTCAAGGTCTGTGTAGTATTCCTTTGTTCTCTCTTTTGGATTATTCTAGCAGCACTCTCCATAAGCAGAACCCAGTGATAAATAGTTCTACTTTTAATGCTTTTTCATTGGTGTTAGTATTAGTTACTCAGTCGTGTCCAACTCTTTGCAACCCCATGAACTGTAGACCTCTAGGCTTCTCTGTCTATAAGATTTTCCATGCAAGAATATTGGAATGGATTGCCATTCCCTTCTCCAGAGGATCTTCCCGACCCAGGGATTGAACCCCGGTCTTTTGCACTGCAGGCATTTTCTTTACTGTTTCAGCTAAAAGGAAAATATAATTTAAATTTATGTTTCAAAGTTCCTGTTTTTCCCCAGTTTATTCATTTAAATGCTAAATGAGTATAAAAAATAATTCTGAAAACTAAATCTGAAATAACTGATTTAAATCCTGGTCCCTGGGATCTAAATGGAAATGCTTCATATGGCAGGTTCAAAGACAAAATTAGGATTCAGATTGGTCATTCACTTGTAATTTTTCAGTAAAGTTATTCCTAACACTTGATGGTGACGATGTATTTGTGATTGCTGAGTGTTGGGCGTTGCATCTCTGGGAGTGTGATTAAGCAGGGGTTGCCATTTGCTGTGCTGTGAGTTGCCAAGAAAGCTGAATTTGTCACAGGTGCTACAATTTGTATTTCAGAAAATTTTCTTCCCCAACTTTAATTATCCCTAAAGTATTCCACTCTACATAAAGTACTGAAAGGAGTCAGCATTTTTTTTTCAGTTTTAGTACTATGATGTAAATTAGAATTTTGCCTACTACCTACGTGTTCTAGAGATCATGAAATTTCAGATGAATGAAGTGATACTGTGTTCTATATTGATTTTTCCACTTTGGATTCAGAAAAAAATAATGTCAAGAAGTCACAAATAACATATTCACAGTGACATGCTTCTTAGAAAGGAACAGACATGAAACAGAAGTATGTACAGTTAACTACTAATGATTGAAAATGGAAAATGTGGAGCCCTAAGCTTTAAAATATTATATAAACTCAGGGGTGATTTTTTAATTAAATATTAATGTGTTTCAAGCTTATGAAAATAAGCATGTATCATTTTGTACAAGGCAGCCTGTCCTTTGCAGAGAGACCAGTTAACTGGACAGGTCATGGAGATAGTCATCACCTTTTTGGCAAAACAATCCTTCTTCACATTTGTACATATAAGTCAGGTTTTTGGGGTTTTTTTCTTTTCCCATAAGGCAAAATATGTTTTCAACACTTCAGCATGAAATCCTGATGAGAAAGTTTCCCCTAAATATTTCACTGCGTAAGTAGTTTCTTCAAAATTGCCTGAGGTTAACTTGCTAAATTTGAGGAAGATCTTTGACCCTGGAAATCCATAAGAAGTGATGACAGATATGAAAATAAATTTTAAGAGATTAGTACTGTTTGATGATTTAATTAAAAATATGCTATAGTTCAATCGCTTTGGAATATTTTAAAATGAGATTCTTTTCTTTTTTTGGCATGTCTTTATATTTGTGTTAATATAGTTCCAACAAATGGAAATAATTAATCGAACTGAGAAACAAATGTGTTTACTGGAAATTGCTTAGCCTTTGAATTTTAATTACAATTTTATATTCTTTGTAGGATTACTTAACTATTCATAAGTATGGCAATGCAGCCAGGAATGATCTCTGGAATACACTATCAGAGGTAAAGTACAGGAGGCTTGAAAACTGAAACCTCTTCTTGAATATTTGAATTGAGTTTATAAAACATTCATAACTTTTATTGACACTGACAGTTTGCTTTCACTTTTTATATTTCCCCTTTCTTGATGTGTTTTCTTGTTTTATATTTGATGTATTATAAGGATGATGAGGTTTAAAAATTAATTCAGCTATGAATTGTAAAGATACTTTGCCTAGTTTTAAATATGATAATACTTCTGAAATATAATTTTAATATGGTGTCAGATATTCATGTTTGAGTGAAATATTGATGGTAAAGAATTTTTTCTCTATAAGTGAATAAAAGCATTTAATACTAGACACACTGGATATGCTTAATGATGCTTCAAGTACTTGCTTTAACAATAAAATATGTTTTATCCTCCATTAGGTTAAAAATGTTAATGTTGATAAAGCTTTCATTTCTATTATATATACACATGAAGCTTAGGCTAAGACAAGAAGATTAATTTTACTAACACATTATATTAGTTTCACTGATTTGAAGTGTTTTCATCCTGAAATAAGTCATAAAGGTAAACATGAAAATGATTTAATGTTAATTATGTTTATAATTCATGTTTATAAAATTAATTTATACAATTTTGATTATAAAGGCTTTAAAAAGGAATGGAAAATACGTAAATATACAAGAAGTAATGGATCAGTGGACTCTCCAGATGGGTTATCCCGTTATCACCATCTTGGGAAATACAACAACTGAAAATAGAATAATAATTACCCAGCAGCATTTTATTTATGATATCAGTGCTAAAACTAAAGCACATGAACCTCAAAATAACAGGTACAATTCTTTTTCTACATGAAAAAAAAATCCTTTTTTTTGCACTTTTGTTTTTACACTTTAACATTTTAAAAAGAATTGATAAAGAATTATGAAATGTATGTGAAATATAGTTTTCATTTCTTTATTTGCATATGATGTTTTCATTTTGAGCCCTTTTTATACTTCCATTTCCAGATATTTTAAGTATCAATGTGACAGCATACCAAAGTTATTTCATTTAAGAGGACAGAATTTAAATTATTACGCTCATTTTAAAAAGTGTTGTTCAGTCAGTAAGTCGTGTCCAACTCTGTGAGCCTATGGACTGCAGCACACTAGGCTTCCCTGTCCTTCACTATCTCCCGGAGTCGGCTCAAACTCATATCCATTGAGTAGGTGATGCTATCTAACCATTTCAGCCTCTGTTACCCCCCTTCTCCTTTTGCCTTCAGTCTTTCCCAGGATGAGGGAAAAATAAAATAATGTGTGATTTTTTACTTTTCCCTATAAATGTTTATTGAATTAAATTTAAGAAAGTTAAAATACTTTGAAGTGAATTGAATAGTATTGAGAAAATAAATTTATAAAACAGCCAATAGAAACTAACAATCCAGAAAGACCTGTTAAAACCAACAGAAATGTAAAGTCAAGATAAATGTTTGAACCAAAAGAACTCAAACTAGATCCATTTAGTCTAGGTATCAAAGTCACATAGTATCAAAATATGTTCCTTTCCTTAACTTTTAGTGTTTAAAAATCACTAAATGCAACATACATAGAATTTGATTTGTTGGTATTTTAACTTTCATTTGAAATTCTTATTTCATTACTGAAAATTCAGCATATAGTATTTCTTTTCTATTTCATGTTTTCCCACTGTTTTGCCTTTTATTAAAGCTGAGCCAAGGAAAGATAGTATAACTTAAATCATTGCATTTTATTTTTTCTTAAGTATCTTGATAAGAAGTTGAGAATCAGGGACAGGGAGAGATGGAAGTTAAATTAATAAGTTAAATGAGGTGTGGACTGTAGACTGGTCACTGTGTCTCCCATTTGGAATGTTAAGAATTCTGATTTGATCATGTACCAATATCTAGGTTATGCAAAGCATAAATTAGCTTTCTTTGTTATATCTAAGAGGAATGGAAATCATCCTAAGTAGGGTAGCTCCAAGACAGAGCCCACGTAGAAGTGACTGAGAAAGTCATGCCTGTTTTCTGATGGCTAAATTGGGAAGCCACTTAAGAAAGTGTTGTAAATTTCCTGGTTAGTAGATACACTGTCCTTCAATAATCTGCCCTTGCAATCCAACTGTTTGGATCTGTGGAATACAAGGTACTATCCTGCCACATTGTCAGGGTCTGATCCTGTCAACACTTCTTTACCCAGGCTGAATCACTCTCAGTTATCAAATAGTGCTTCCAGTCAACCACTGTCTGGCCCCAGGTGAAACCTGCTTAGGCCTCATCCTAGGCCTGCCAGGAAGTACATAAAAAGTACTTCACTGTGACAAAGTCAGAGAGATTCAGGCCATGCCTTTGAAAATGATCAAGCTGACACAAGCATCACTGATGCAGGAAAACATAAAGGACATGCAGACGATAGAACAAATTTGGAACAAAAATATTCTGTCATCCTATAACATGCTCCAGATGTATCAGCCATGAGTCTGATTCTCTAAAGTAAGACTTTCTCCCAGGATGTATAGGCATATATAGCATCTACAGAGTTTTGCTTTCGCTGAAGTTATAAAATCACATGGATGTTTTGAATGCTGAGAACTTGGCATAGAGAACATTGAGTGAGATAATGCATGGTATCCCATCAGCCTCAACATTTATTTTTTATCTATTTTGAAATAATAAGAGTTTGCAGTTGAAATTTTAGTATTCACTTTTGTATAATTGATCATTTAATTCACTATAATGTTGTGGTCAATTCTATCTGCTCTTTGTAAACTTCCTAGATCTTTATTGTATAATGCAAATAGTGCAGTAAAACATAAAGCTCATTTATGCTAGAAACCCCATTGAGGATATTTTCTAGGGCAGCATGATCAATTCTTTGTCTTCAGTTTTGTAGAAGACACGAGAATACTATAACATGCCTAGAACATTTTAAATGTATGCAGTCATTAAAAGGCAGAGACATTACTTTGCCAGCAAAGGTCAATATAGTCAAAGATATGGTTTTCCAGTAGTGATGTACGGATGTGAAAGCTGGACCATAAAGAAGGCTGAGCACTGAAAGATTGATGCTTTTCAACTGTAGTATTGGAAAAGACTCTTGATAGTCCCTTGGACTGCAAGGAGATCAAACCAGTCCATCCTAAAGGAAATCAGTCCTGAATACTCATTGTAAGGACTGACGCTGAAGCTGAAGCTCCAATACTTTGGCAACTGATGCGAAGAGCTGACTCATTAGAAAAGCCCTGATGCTGGGAAAGACTGAAGGCAAGAGCAGAAGGGCAAGACAGAGGATGAGATGGTTGGATGGCATCACCACTTCAATGGATATGAGTTTGAGCAAGCTCCGGGAGATGGCGATGGACAGGGAGGCCTGGTGTGCGGCAGTCCATGGGGTTGCAAAGAGCCGGACACGACTGAGCGACTGAACAACAATAGTCATTTTATTTTTCATATGAGGTAGCTATGTTACAGCAGAGAAAGGAAAGATTTTTATATAATAATTACATAAAGTTAGTTGATATGTGAAAGTAACATATTTGCTAGCATTTTGATATTTGGATAGTTGTAACTTTGTGTAGCTTTCTTTTATAAATTAATATAAAGATTCAGTAATGTCCCTCATATGTATGGAGCTTCTTAGAGTCTTGTGCTACAGGGAACTATATTTATCTCCTTTTGTTTTTGGTCTAATGACAGCAGCCTCTGAACCACTTTTCATGACATCTGCTTGAATGCATCACTAATACTGATACAATTAAAAAAAATTTTTTCCCCTCAAGCTAAAATAAGCAACAGTTCTTTTCTACCTTAACATAATCATTAGAATAAACATTGCTTTATTATAAAAATGTGACCTATGTGAAGAGAGGTATTCTCAGGGACTATTAAAGAAAAAAATTCTCTGGAGAGTCTGTTGAAATGTATTGTTTTTGTTGCCTTTCTTCTTAAAATGATATGACAGAACATTCAAGTTAAATTTAAGGGGCAGGTGTACAAACTCCTTTCACACATTCTTTTTTCTAGTTTCTTTTAAAATATAACTCACTACAGTCTTGGATTTGTTTTCTTTCTTTTTTTTTTGTAGCACATCGCATAGAGCTTTCCGCCCACGATATAGAGGGTCCGGGTCCCTAGCCTTTTAAGTTGTAATCGCAAGGGAACATAATTATCATTCTTTGATCTTAAAATGAAATTGGTGGAAAGTTCAAATATGTGTTGCTTGGAAAGTTACAAAAAGTAACTTGTAGGGTTGCCATTTCCTTCTCCAGGGCATCTTGCAGACCCAGGGATCAAACTGAGGTCTCCCGCCTTGCAGGAAGATGCTTTAACCTCTGAGCCACCAGGGAAGCCCCATTGTGTTTATAGTATAGCAAAATGTGCTTAGTGATTTGTGATTTTTATTTTGTCTTTGTGACAATGTATAGATTTTGTTTATGTGTCTATCAATACATGTACATGCATGCATATATATACACACTCACACACAGACACATAGGCATATAGAATAGAGGCCAAAAATATTAAGAAAAGTATAGAGGCTATTTTAAAAGTTTTACAAAATGCCCTGATGGTTGTGTCCTGATACCTTTTTTTTATTTTTTGCATCTGAATATTGCTATGCAGTGCAGTGTTGTCATTTAGGAAAGTTTCTTGTGTGTGGAATTGTCTGTAAACAGCACGCAGGTATTGATAGTAATCTCTTTTTCTGCGCTTTCGAGACTTTTGTGAAAACTCAGATATCAAAACCTCAATTTTTATTGTTATATATAATTTCATTACTTAGAAGAATGAAGTTTAAATAAGTGTAAAATTAGAAGTATAATTACATTAGGAGCAAATAATTTTCATAAATATTATTGATCATGCTACAAAAAGATACATTTATCCTTGAAAAGTTTTAAACATCTTCAATATATCTTTTGCCCTTTAACTGATACTTATTTGACATCAAAATTTAGTTGCCCCAACTCAATACAGAAGACATATACTAAAAAAATCTATTTCATGAAGTTAATCTCTGTCTATTATAGACTGATATGGTTCCTTTTATTTTACTTCAATTCAATCTCATTCAATCCATTTCAACAACAATTTATGGAATACCTTTCATTTCCAGGCTTTTGAAAGATCTTAGATACACAAAAGTAAGTTCATAGCTTGAGAATCAGATGCAGAGTTAGGTATTGTCTCTTAATTAATAATTTTAATTAATCAAAATGATTTCATACTTTTAGAGAATAGCTATATCTAATGATTTATATCATTATTTTTAGAGAACAGCTATATCTGTCTATATCTAGGTTTCTATCTCAGTTCTCTGTATATCTTCCTCACAGTAAATCCATTTTAAAATATTTCTGCATATTTTTAGTTTCATGAGTTTGAGGATATTTGTTAAAGAGTGTACGTGGGTTGTGTTCACCAATGTGTATTCTAAATGCAATACTATTTTGCTGCTATAGGTTGTTTATTTCCTGACCTGTCTGGAATCCATTATAGTATAGCATCATGTCTTCCCTTAGTGGGGACACAAAAATGTTTCTCTGAACAAGTATAGCATATACTTTTAAAATTTAGAATCTTAAACATATAACTTTCGTTGGAGATAGTAGTCGGTATCAAACTAGGAATTTCTCCCAGTATTCTGTTTGGTGTTTTGTGCTATTACTAAATTCTGTTTATTGTGACTAGGAAACATGAAATGATAAACTAATAATCAAATTCAGCATGACAGATTTGGAGATGTCCTCCCCTATTAAAAGGCATATGCATTCTATTTTTACGTGTATAGCTCCAGACATGTTCTCTGAAAAATTCTCCATTAACTCGCAGTTACTGAGATCATGCAGCATATCTTCTTATAGTTTTCAAGTCAGAAATATTTTTCACATATTGCATATTGTTGTCTACCCCTCTTGCTAGTGATACAGTGATTGGTCAACATAATCTGGCTGTATTATAGGGGGAGTAAAATGTAGTCCCGGATTTTGTTATAAGACTATCCAGCTTATCTCTGGATGCTCATTTGAGGTTAAATTGATACTACTTCATGCACTTTAGGCCTCAATTTTTGTCCTATCAAAAGTCATAGCCTACAAAATGCTTCTCTTTACTAGCTGAGACTCATGACTGATTCCTGCACGTTGGTGGGTGATTTCACATATCAATTTGGAAAATCCACTTTAGAAAACAGGGCATTAGGTGTGTCTTATAGCATTCTTTGTATTGATCTGGATTTCAGGGGTATCTAATTAATTTTTCTTTTCGTCCTTACTTTGCTGTGTAACTTTAGGTGTGCTGTATTAACTTTTCTTTAAAAAATGACAAGTTTTTTCAAAGAATAGTTAGACAAGTAAATGAGGAGAATGTTGAAATGTAAATGCATAAAACCACTGAAATGTGCATTAATCTAATATAGAATCAAGTAGAATGAAGTTATTTTAAGACTTTAATCAATATATTATGTGGTGAGATAATATGGATTTTAGCTACTTTTTATTCCTCATGTAAAATGCAAATCTTTCCCCCCCCCCCAAGATAAATTGTTTTGCTGGTAGTCCTCCTTTTGTATTGAAATTAAAACTCTTAGAGTTCAAGTTTGCTTAGTGAGTTGAAAGAGTAAATTCATTTTTACTTACTCCTTATGTTTATGACTGGGGAATCTTTTCAATTTTCCTAAAGAGAATAATAAAAAAAAATCACATGAAAGATGTATAGGAAATACTGTTTATTTGTTACAGCCATTTTAATTCCTAAAGTTTGTCTTTTATTTTGCAGTTACCTGTGGCAGATTCCATTAACTATTGTGGTAGGAAATAGAAGCCATGTGTCTTCAGAAGCAATTATTTGGGTGTCTAACAAATCAGGTAAAACATATATTTTCCTCTGAGGAACTACTTGGTCTCAAATAAATGTTTAGCAACTTAACTTCTGGTTTCAGCTGTTATAAACATGTGAGTAAAGACAAATTAGAAAGAGAATATAGAAGAATAATCTCTATAAAATTAAGTATTTCTACATAGTCTAATTTTAGTCTATTGATATAATTATTAAATTTGTGTCTTTGATTATAAAGAGAAAATTAAAAACAAAATACTTGTAGTACTAGTTTTAACTGTTTTAAACTGCATTATTTTGTAATCCCAAATGTAATTAACTTATAATCATAGTTCCCAATAGAGCAATATGTCAAGCTCTGAAACACTGGCCACATATTTAATTCCATTTTCCAGCTATCTTCTCTTTATTAAACTGGCCTTTTATATAGAATGGGTCTGGCAGTAAAATTAGATAACTATAGAGCCAGATATGAGAGGCCTTGATAGCTCATCAAACCATCCTTTTAGGTAGGGTTAATGCTCAAGGAGCAGAGAAAGATGAGATTCTATTCTGTTTCTAAATATCTTCAAATAAGATAGTGACCTATTTCATTTCACTATCAGAAAGCTATTTCTTGAAACCAGTCTAAATCCTTCATGCTAGAGTGTGAACCAGGTCTCTTTTATTTCTGTTTTCCATTGAATTGAAAAAAGCAATTATCGTTTTTATGTAACATCTCATTTAGATTTAAATGGTCAAGTATTCCACATTTTGTTTTTCTTACTGTTTTCTCATATTCTGCTAATTTATCTTTTCTTACTATTTTATAAGCATCATTTTAAACAAATCTTTTCTTGAAATAAGGTGAAGTATAAATAAATAACAAAATACTGTTTCTTCCCCTCAGTCTAGCTGTTATTAGGGAGATGTAAATGGTCAAAATACACACACATGTAAATACAAGAAAAAGGTTTTACAGCAGAATCTAATCTGCTTACTAGAAATATAAACTCTTGTTTTTCCAGTTGAATTTTTATTCAAATGTTCATGTTATTATATTTTAACACATATTATGAAAATATGTGCTTTCATTTATATACATTATGTATAAAACATTCATATATAATGCAATGATGCATTGAAATGCTCATTTTAAAATGTATTGGTGTATCTCCTTTTAAATTGCTTACTATATTCTTTTCATTTCTTTGAATTAGTTTTTATACCATGTTCTGAGTTCACACTTACTGTATTTTCTTTGTACTTCTCTTTTACCTTCATGTAGTTTTATTTATCTACATAATTTATTATGAAATGATGAGTGAAAACAGTGAACTCCTATTGTAATAATTCAGCTATCAGAATGAAGTCTTAGGTCCATAGGATTGCTAGGGACACAAAATAGAAGAGTTTTCAGAAATAAAGCAAAAAGGTAGAAGGTAGACTAGAAATGGGAAATTAGATACTGATCCAGTGTCAGGATCAGCCCCAGCTTTCACTTTTAGACAGTGCAGGGTTCAGGGCAAGTCTGATTCTTCAACTCTTTTCTCAGGGTCCATTTCCTCTAACTCCCTAGTTATTTCTATAGTGTTACCCATGATGTCCACAGATTATCTACAATAGTATCATGACTTTTATTTTTATTGAAGTTTGGTTGATTTACAATATTCTGTCAGTTTCAGATGTAGGATAGTTATTCAATTTTTTGCAGATTTTACTCCATTCCGGGCTTCCTTGGTGACTTAGTGGTAAGGAATCACACCTGCATTGCAGGAGACCTGGGGTGTGATCCCTGGGTGGGGAAGATCCCCTGGAGGAGGGCATGGCAACCCACTCCAGTGCTCTTGCCTGGAGAATCCATGGACTGAGGAGCCTGGAGGGGCTGTGGTCCATAAGGTCACAAAGAATTGGACACGACTGAAGTGACTGAGAACACATGCATGCATACTCCCTTTTAAATTATTACCATCATGGCTTTTCTTGACCAATGACTACGGGTTGTTATACTGATATTTGAGAGATTGTTTTTACTTATAGTCTTTTATTGTTAATCAGAAATAATAATAACATGATATTTCAAGCCACGTGCTTGCCTAAAAAGTCCTCTGTGGTCATACATTTGATTGTTATACACAGCTGCAGAGTTTTGTGCAATGCGTAACTCTAGGAGATGATATTTACATGGGCTGTGATATTACTTAGGCTTCCCCAGTGGCTCAGAGGGTAAAGAATCTGCCTGCAATGCAGGAGACCCTGGTTCAATCCCTGGGTGAGGAAGGAAATGGCTATCCACTCCATTATTCTTGCCTGCAGAATTCCGTAGATAAAGGAGCCTGGCAGGCTGCAGCCCATGGGGTTGCAAAGAGTTTGGATGTGATTGAATGATGTTATTACTTGCAAACCCCTCACTTCATAATTGTGTAGTGTGCAACCTATGGAGTGCAATGTGTCATATTCCGTTAAATCATAGCACAGTCTTCTGATTGATAAAACGTAGTCTCAGTTGAAAGTTGAGGTTTTTGTTTGGAATTTCCATACCACGTAAATGTTTCTTGAAAACTTTATGAATACATACATCTGGAAGAATTTCACAAGTGGAAAATAAAACAAAGGCAACCTTTCTAGCTTCCCTGTTTATTCTCGTTCTAAATGTATTTGGTTCTGTCTTGAACTCCATTCCGATGACAAATAAAAAGCAGAAACCAGTCAAGGATTAGGGAAGAAGGTTAAATTTATATCCTTTTAGATCACCTTTTATCTTCAAAATATATTTAACCAATATTAATGAAAAAGGTTTCTTCATAGATAACGGTAAGAACATATTCTGATCAATTCTTACCAACATATGCTAAACATTCCACTTTTTAATTATAACAGATCAATGCTTTTATAATTTTTTGTCATCAGTAATATCAATTTGATGTCACGTGATACTAAGGTCAAGTCATTAATGAACAATGTAAATAATATAAAATGTGAGTTTTATTTGTATCATTATATGTTCTTGACACTTCAATTTTTTGTTGTGTTGGGTGGTTATCTAATTAATTCCAAGCTAAGGCACATATCATTTTAGGTTAAACATAGTTTTAAAGCAAATTTTTGAATTACTGAAAGTAGGTAAAAAGATTTTTCTCTTGTTTTTACTATGAAAATGCTGAGAAAGCAAACATTTATACATAGTAGCTCTCATATTGACTGACTGTTAACTAATGTATAGTGGAAGGAAATACACTTAATGACAAACGTTAGGAAAGAAAAAATTCAAATTAAAAGGGAAAGTGATTCTGAAAATCAGAAGTAAATATTAAAAATAGCATAATGCTTCCCTTAAATATTGGCTCATAGGAGTCTCATGAGCCTTTAAGGTATTTTTTTTTAACCTCTAGTTTGCAAATGAGAAAATTAAGGCTTGAGAAATAACTTGCCAAAAATGTCTCAGGAACTTGATTTTCTTTTCTAAGTTTATTTGTGACACATGCACACACAAGATTTTAATACTTTGGTAGGTTACTTTGCAGATCTGTCAGTTTCATGGCCATAGAGTGCACATGCATGGTTCTCTGTAATCTCTACAGAGCATGATATAATTTGAGTTTCACAAGAGTTCAATGAGAAAACGAGGGTGTGTTATTATATGTGAATTTGTTTCACTTTGTTCCCCTTGGCGTCCTGGTTCACTTTTTTGTTCGTTTTCAATTCTCATTGTTCTGCAACCAGCCACTATTGAGTAGAAGATCTGATCTGCTTTCTTTTTCATTCCAAAAGGAAGAATAAAGTATACAAATATAAAACATTATAAAATGCCAACTATTCTGTGCCTTGATGTAGTCTGAATCTTGTGCCATTTTGGATATATTTTAAATATAAATTTTAATTGTTACTACTAACACCTGATATATAACATCCATACTTTTTACTATGGTACTCATCACACACTGTACCTCATTAGACTATTGGAAAAGATCTCTTTAAAATTCACTGCTTGCCATTAGTTAATCTGAAGAACATTTTAGAGATATAATTAAGTAGAATGAAAAAGATATTTAAAAATCTATTACAAAATATTTTGGGGAATCATTTCTCCAAAGATTTCATTTATAGCAAAGGTATAAAAATATCCATGAACAGTAATAGCCTTCAAGTTTTAGTTATTAATTTAATAATAGAATATTTAAAAATAATAGATGCTTGCCTTTCTTTTTCTCCTCAGATTACATAGCAAGTGTAGGGATTGTTTTCCTGTTTTAATTGGTCTCTGTTCTACCTATAAGTTGTTGAATTCAAAAGCTCAAAAAACTAGAAATAAGTGCATTATATGAAGGTAAGTTATACCATCTATATAAAATGTCAGGAGGAAANTCAGGTGGCCAAAGTATTGGAGTTTCAGCTTCAACATCAGTCCTTCCAATATATATACTACAAGTTTTAAATAACTTCATACATTATGCTACTTCTATGAAGCATGAGTCCTGACGGCATCAGCAGCAAAGTGATTAGAATTGTAAACTATGGTTTTAGGAAGTCAATAAAGGCTGTCATTAAAAGTGAATGAGTTCTCTGTATCATATTTGAAGGGGTTAAATATGTTAAGTTATAAGACTACTTTTACTGGCTTCCTTTAATTGAATTAACCAGTAAATGCAATCAAGTTACCATTTTCCAAAGTGATTCTAATAAGCAAAATTTATTATCTTTGTTCTAATTATATGTAGAAATATTAGAGCTTTAAATGAGGTTCTTTTTCCCAACATGATTGATGATGCTGGAAAATCTGTTATTTATTAGCACATTCAAAAAGCACAAGGAAGAGGGTAAGAAATAACAGTGACTTTCAAATAAATGAACCCTATTGTTGTAATCAGTTTCTTCCTGAATAAAATAAGTAGATTATGCACCTGAAACCTTTTTTTATTCCAAACACAGATACATATACAATCTAACTGGAAGCCACATGAATGCAGTAGTAGATTTCTTGGTTATATTATTTATCTTGAGAAAGATAATTATATATACATAATAGGGCTTTATCAAGAATAAAAATGTTAATTATAAGAAAACAGTTAATTGAGTACTAATGAATAAGACACTAAAGGTTTTCTAGCAAATTCTAACATAGTGATTAATTGTGTAATTAGTAAAAAGTAGACTTCAATTAGGTATTTAGAATGGTGTCCTCTTTTAATTATTGGCACTGTGACATTTGATATTAAGAAAGCATACTTCCTCCTGTTTTAACCCTTAAAATTGAAAATCTCTCTTACCCCTAAAATGCTGTTTTCAGAACACCATAGGATAACTTTGGACAAAGGAAGCTGGTTGCTGGGGAACATCAATCAAACTGGCTATTTTAGAGTCAACTATGATTTAAGGAACTGGAGATTATTAATTGATCAATTAATCAGGAATCATGAGGTAAACTGGACTTTACTCATCAAATATCTGTTTAGATATATGAACATATGCCATTCTAATACTAAATAACTCCATTTTTGTATTTTTGCTTTTTTTGGTTGGCCTCATAGCTTCTCTCTGTCAGCAACCGAGCAGGTTTGATCGACGATGCCTTCAGCCTAGCCAGGTATGTTTTCCTGTGGATCTCCACAATAAAACTAGTATTCGTAAGACTTCCTCTGTTAAGCTTAATAGTATATAAGTTTTGAATCTGAAATCTTTTAAAAATTATTTCTATCTCACGTCCTTTGTGTTTAGATATAAATTATAATCAGTGTCCCAAACTCTTGATCAATAGTAGCTGTCGGGTATTTCTGAGCCAGGAGAAGCTTGATCAATTTTCACCACAGGTTCAATTTAACACTCAAGATTAATAATCTCTTTCCAATTTCATTAATGAAGTCTACAAAATGACCATTGTGCCATATTTAATTTTTCATGGAAAGTACCTTCAAGCATCATCAATTTTTTTTCCTGACATATACTAGTATATCTTTTTTTAATGTATTTTTGAATGTGATTCATTATGAAAAGCTTGTGCTGCAAGACAGAAATAAATATTCTACTGGGTAAAGCTGTTCTGAACAAAATATATATAAATCTTGTAGCAGAAGTTTTAGTACTAGTTACAGTAATATTTGTTTCTAATAATCTATTTTCACAGTTGTATTTATAATGTTAAAAATCAGATATTCCTTTGGATAGTCATTAAATAGCTATTCCTTTAAAATAATGTTGATCATAAACCCAAGCTATTTTACTCAATTTTTAGACTACATAGTAAAATAAACTCAGTTCTTTTAATATTTTGTATTGCTTCATGTCCAAATATAGTTTTAATTTTAATAATATGATAAGATTGGACAAAAATTAGAAATGATAGTGTTGGAGGGTAGTCACATATGGGGATAAAGATTAAGTAAGATATGAAGACTTTCAAGAAAGTATTAGATATGACATGAAGATTATTCTGACGAGGGTATATGTTGCCCTGACAGAGAAGCAGGAGAAAGAGAGACATGTTAAGGGTTCCACAGGAAAGATTAAGGAACTGGAAGGTTAATTAAACTAGCATTACCAGTTAATTAAACATTTAAAAGATTCCAGACACTGTTTTGTTTTACATATAATAATTTGTATAATTCTTACAACCTTATAAGTATATATAATGCGAATAAGTATTCCCATTTTATAGGTGAGGAAACGGAGGCTCAGGGAGGTCAAGTAACTTATCTAAAGTCACACAGCTAGTAATTGACAGGACCAGGGCTTTGTGTATATGCAGTAATATAAGAGCCAGGTAATACAGGAAGATTGGGAGGGGGATTTGAAACAATAGTTCATGTGAATTCTTATGGGTTTGAAAGATGGTGAGAAAGCAAATAAATAGTGACGTCCTAAAGAGAGAGGCAGATGGAAACTGAAACGAAAGGAGTTTTGTATTAAATAATAGAAGCTATTTTTAAATGAAATATTTTAATTTTGGTAGATGCATTTTTTTCAAAAATTAAATTCCTTGTTGAACATTGCTTTAAATAACAATTTTGGAAGCCTTAAATGTTTGCAAGTAAACAATTTCATTATCATTTATACAGATTTACCAGGGAAATATGCAAATCTCATTGAATATATATTAAAATTTGTTCTATTGATCATGAAATAGGTCTCCTATTAGCATGGAAGTAAATAAACCCCAAGTTAGATTTATTCTGCATTTACATGAAACACTCTGCAGTTACTTGGAGTTCTTTGTGGTTTAGTGTATGCTAGTAAATGTTTCGAAGTTTTGCTACCCACCTATTTCAGCCTTCTTTCAGTTTCCTGAACATATTACAATCCTTTTGGCTTCTTTATAGGTAACACACAGAAGGGTAGCAAATCTTTATCAATATACATGTTCTAAATACGGTACTGAGGCTTTTATGAATGATTTTGTTCCGTCTGCTCGGTGAACCCACAGAGTGGGTGTGATTGCTACAGCCATGTTATAGCATGCTAGAGACATGGAGGTTGAGAGGGGCTAAGTCTCTTAGCTCAGGGTGCACAGGTTTTAAGTAAGGGATGGGAGATGACATTCAACTCGAGACAGTAGAGCAGCAGAGCCTGTGACCTCAGGTCAGGATGACTTTGCCCATTTCATGAAATTCTTCTCTCCCCTTGTCTGCTGGGAATATTACTATTCATTTAAAAATTTTTTTTCACTTGCACCACCTTACCTGAAACCTGCCTGTCCTCCCCAGCAAGAATGTGACATCTGTGTATCTGTGCATTAGCAGCTGTCACCTTATAATTCAGCTACTTTTCTGGGTCCCCATGATTTTTGAGTGATCGTGAGTGTAGGGCTTGTCTCATCCTTGTATGACTACTACCTAACTTAATCTTTGGTACTGGATTATACCAATATATATTTGTTGAATGAATTGCTGATTAATTATTGATTATTCAGACCATAAACTTTCAGGCCCACTATTTTTTTTGCAATTAATTACACATATTCTAGGTATTTTTTTATGGTTGTTTTATAAAATATATAAAAACTGCAAGAATGCATTCTAGTTGTACTCATTCAAACAAGAGAGATAACAATGTGAAACTTTTGTTTTTCTCCTTCTGTGACCTCCCATAGCTTTTATACTCAGAAAAAATTATTAATATTTGATGTATATAAATCTGGCCCTTTTTAAAACAATTTCTATGCAGTTTAATTTTTTACATGAACATAAATGTTCTCTGACTCATTTATAAAAATAAGTCTGAGGAGCTTTATTCCATTTTTTTCTAAATTTTCATTATTATAATCAAGACTGCACTGAACATCCTTGAACAGTCTTTTGTTGTACATATTTGTATTTTGGTATGATTCATTCTTGAAAGTGGAATTTTTTGCTTAAAGAGTGTAACATTTTTGATAAATATTGCAAGTTGTATTCCAAAGGGATTCCGAGTAGAACCCTCCATCAACCATGTATGAGGGGGCCCAATGTCCTCATACCCTATATGATAGTAAACAGTATATATCTTTTACATTTTTGACAGTATGGAAAAAAAATAAGGTTTTTTTGAAGTTGTTACAGAACTAGTTAAAATAACTTGTGCATCTTTTCCTATACATCATCCATGTGTATTTAGTTTTCTTTTATGAATTGTTACCTGGTTAGAAGAAAAAGAAAAGTCTAACAGAAGATGGGTGAGGCATTTTTCCTACTCTTTTCCTATATATTTTGGATGTTTTGAGGTTTTAAGCCTTTTTGTAGAAGATGATTTTACAGTATTTTCTCTCAATATCATGTCTTTTTTTTTAAACTTTGTGATGTATTTCATCATCTCAATGGCTTTTAATTTACATGGTATTCAATTTGTAGCTTTCTGTTTCTCTGGTTCTGATTTCCATAGGAGACCTTTGCTACATGAACATTTTGAAAATATTTCATTTTTTTATTTGTAAACTATTTTGCTTTTACTTCTATTTTCTCCACACCTTCTTCTCTAATGAGTTTTTATGTATAGCATAGTTTTCTTTAACATTATACATTTATAACCAATTATTTAATCCTGTTTGTTTACAAGACCTTTCTTATTCATAGATTTGAAATGATGTCTTTATCTTAATGCTAATATTTTTATTTTAGGGAATTGATTCAGTTCTGTTCAACTGGTGTCCGTTCTTTGTGGCACTGGCATGACATTGCTCTGATTAGCTTCATTTTATAGTGTGTTGTGGTTGGCGACATTTTCTCTTGTTCTTGTTCAAAATCTTACATATTTTCTCTTAAGTATAGGTCTCAAAATCAGTTTGACAAAGCCATTAAAAATCCTGCTGTAGTTATGACTGAATGTGCATTGGATTTATAAGTTAATTTTTAAAGAATTAGCATCTTTTCAAATGTGAGATTTCCAATACCAAAACATTTATCCCCACTTATTTAGGTCCCTAAATGAAGTTCTGTAGCTTTATTTACATGAGTTCTGGTAATGTCATATTATTCCCTCATTCTTTTTTAAATGATATATGCTTTAATAGGAAATGGCACTGCTTTTGCACTTACATGTTCTAATTTTCATTCCTTGTGTGTAAGGAACTAATCAGTTGTCTTGCAAATGTCTTTGTATTATGACATGAACTTTGAAATTAGTGACTAAATGCCTAGTTATTTTTTTTTTTGTAAGTGGTCCTTCCTGTTTGTTGTTGGGCTTTGTTATGATGAAGCATTGCTAGATTGGGAGATATAAAAATGAACAAGATGCAGTTCTTGTTCTCAGCGAGTTCATGGTCTATCAGGGACAATGTCCTGTAGACAATTAACTATATCCAACGTGTCAATGTGATGAATAAGATATTATGAAAGTGTTGGAAAGTAAAGAATTAATGTGGTCTAGAGAGATTGTTGTTGTTCAGTTGCTAAGTCATGTCTGACTCTGACCCTAAGAACTGCAGCACACCAGATTTCCCTGTCTACTATCTTCCTAAGTTTGCTCAAACTCATGTCCATTGAGTCACTGGTGCCATCCAACCATCTCATCCACTGTTGCCCCCTTCTCCTCTTGCCCTCAATCTTTCCCAGTATTAGGGTCTTTTCCATTGAGTTGGCTCTTCACATCAGGTGGCCAAAGTATTGGTGCTTCAGCGTCAGCATCTGTCTCTTCAATGAATATTCAGGGTTGACATCCTTTATGATTGACTGGCTTGATCTTTCTGTCCAAGGGTGATGGACGTCATATAGTAAATAACATCAAGAGAATGAAAGTTTCCTATGAAAATCTGTTAAAGTTTTAAAAGTAGTAAAATGAGAGCAGGAAAAAATGTAAACTAGAGCATGGATTTAAGGCAAGGGAACTGTTACCACAGTGATACTCATGGAACAAATTGATTAAAACATAGATTTGAGAAGGAGTGGAATTGGCAGTTAAATTATATAAGAACTCATATTGAAGTTATTTATTTACTTAATATAGAAGAAACTGGAAATTTGGAATATTTGCCATAGAAAATATAATAACCTCTGAATTTGGATATTAAAAGCCATTAACATGCTGTGATATGATTTTAAAAAGCTATGCAAGTGTGTATCACTGGACTGTGGACCTATGTCATATTTTGTTTGAAAATATTCAAAATACATGAAAATT